GCCTTCCCTGATGAGTGCTGCACTAACTGCGGTGTTTGACACGGCCAAATAGAGAAAGAGGGGTTCGCCTGTGATTGCTTGAGAAAGTAAAGGAGGGTTGGCCATGCACTGTTTCAACTGCTGAAAGGCCTTTTCAGATTCTGCCGTCCACTCAAAAGTTTGCCAAAGAACTTTGACGAAGGGGAGGCACTTGTCCGTTGCGCAGGAAATGAAGCGGTTGAGGGCAGCAACTCGGCTAGTAAGTCTCTGAACCTCCTTAACCGTTCTGGGTGACTACATTTCAATTAGGGCTTTGATCTTCTCGGGGTTAGCTTCGATGCCCCATTGACTGACCATGAAACCCAAGAACTTTCCAGATCTTACGCCGAAGGCGCATTTCTTCGGGTTGAGCTTCATTTGATGCTTTCGTAGGGTAGTGAAGGTCTCCCGCAGGTCGGCCAGATGATTAGTGGAGAGCTTGCTTTTGACTAGCATGTCATCGATATATACCTCCATGTTCTGGCCTATCTGGTGATGAAAGACGGCATTGACCAACCGTTGGTAAGTGGCTCCAGCATTTTTCAACCCAAATGGCATCACAAGGTAATGGTAGGTTCCCTGGTCGGTGATGAAGGAGGTGTGTTCCTGGTCAGACGGGTGCATCAGAATTTGGTTGTACCCAGAGAAGGCATCCATGAAACTGAGCATTTGATGGCCGGCCGTGGCGTCTACCAGCAGATCTATGCGAGGAAAAGGGTAGCTGTCTTTAGGGCAAACTCGGTTGAGGTCGGAGTAGTCGACACAGAGTCGCCAGCCATCTGGGGTAGTCCACATTTGTGATAAACTGTGCCTCAAGAAGCTTATCTACTTCAGAAGCAATAAGGTTATTGCGCTCCGGGTGAAAGATGCGCTATTTCTAGCGGATGGGTCGGAAATGGGGCTTGATGCTGAGACGGTGGGTGATGAAGGAGGGGTCAATACCTGGCATGTCAGAGTGGGTCCAGGCAAATACATCGTTGTGTTCAATCAGGAGGGCGGTGAGGTCGGTCTTGGCAGTTTTTGCCGGGTTGGTGGGATCGATGAGGACCTCGACGAGCTCTTCCACTGGTTCCCTTCTGACCAGCTCATCCTTGTCTCTGACGTCGAGTCCTTCAATGATCATGGCCTCCTTAAGCTTGACTTCTTTAAGTGAGGCAACATAACACTCTCTGGCCACGGTCTGCTCTCCCCTCACTGTGCCGACTCCAAGATCGGTGGGGAACTTGATGGCAAGATAGAAAGTGGATGTGATAGCTTGGAAGGCATTTAGGGCGGTGCAGCCAAGGATGATATTGTAGGCAGAGGGACAGTCGACAACAAGGAAGGTGAGTAACTTTGTGGTCTGCCGCGGGTATTCGCCGATTGTGATGGGAAGATCGATGGAGTCGATGGAGGTCACCCGATCACCCGTAAAGCCGACCAATAGGGTTTGGAGAGAGAACAGACTTTCTTCCCCGATCTTGAGCTGGCGGAATCAATTTAAGAAAATGATGTCGGAAGAACTACTGTTGTTGACGAGAACTCGTCTCACCTTGTAATTGGAGAGGAGGGCGGAAATGACGAGAGAGTCGTCATAGGGGTAATGGATGCCTGTGCAGTCGGCGTCCGTAAAGGTGATAGGCTCGGTCCATTCCCTGGGTTGTTTGGAGGTTCGGTCCAATGTGGCAATTTCTTTGTCTGAGCCCTGCCTTATTTTTCTGAGTTCTGCCAGCTGAGCTGAGCGGGATAGTCCTCCACAAGCAAGCCCACCGGAAATAACTCTGATTTCTCCAACAGGTGGGGCGGGGTTGCCTTGTGCCCGAGGTTATTGGGGAGGGCGATCATGACCTTGGTTAGGTTGTGCTGGTTGTCGGGGAGGGGTGCGCCGGCGGTTGTTTCTGATGGGTTCAGCCCGTTGCCTCTGCTGAGGGCGAGTATCTGTGAATCGACTGAGACATCCTTGACGAATCAAGCCCTCGACCTGATCGTTGAGGTTAACACACTCCTCGGTATTATGGCCGTGGTCCTGGTGAAAGCGGTAATATTTGGACTAGTCTCTCTGATTGGAAGGAGTCCGTGATGGTTGGGGCCATTTTACGGGGTAGTCCCGCTTGATCTGTTTGAGGACTTGTTCCATGGGAGAATTGAGGGGTGTGTACCGCTCGAACCGGCCGGGCGGTCGGGTTGGTGCCAACCGGTCGGCTCGGGGTGGTCGGTCATTATACTGAGGTGTTTGGTGAGTGTACTGGGTATTTCTGATTTCTGAGTCATTTCTCTTCTTTCTGAAGGTCGGGTTTTTGGCTATTAGGTCTTGTCGGGCGGCTAGGGAATTTTTGGCATTCATGTATTTTTGGGCTTTAGAGAGTAGGGTTGCCATAGAGGTCGGGGGGTTTTTTGAGAGGGAAAAAAGGAAATTAGATGACCGTAGACCGGCCATGAAAGCCGTAAGGATGACCTTGTCATTGTTTTTCGCTACTTGCAAGGCTTCGGTGTTGAAGCAGGTAGCGAAACTACGCAGCGACTCCCCCTTGGTCTGACGGATATTGAGGAGTTGGGTTGCTGGACGTTGTTGGCGTTGGGCTCTAATGAAATGGCTGAGGAAGGAGTCACTGAGGTGCTGGAAAATGGAGACAGAATCTGCTAGTAGTTGACTAAACCAGAGTCGAGCCGACCCCTTGAGTGTTACGGGGAAAGCCCGACACATGATCTCGTCGGGGAATGCATGGAGGATCATGAGGGTTCTGTAGGTCTCCAAGTGATCAACTGGGTTCGTTGTACTGTCGAAAGAGTCGATGGTGGGCATTTTGAACTTAGGGGGTAGAGGTTTGTCCCGGATGGAGACAACGAACGGCGAGTTGGCCGTGGTGGATGGTTTATGCTGTATGTTTTGCATGACTCCTTCGAGGTGGAGCTTCATGGCTCGGAGTTCTGCATCCCAGAGAGGAATGCTGTCACCACCGGAGGGGAGGGGGGGCTGGACGCTACTGGCCTCTCCCTTGGGGGTTGGTACCGGGGCCGATGGATGCGGGGCCCGAGGTGGCAGGTTTATATCCGGGAGGGGAGCTCGCAAGCCTTCCAAGTTGGGTGGGTTAGGTTGCAGGATAGTATGGCTCGGGGCTCGTTCTTGGTTAGGTGGAATATCTGGAGGTGGTGGAAGAGACATAAGAAGGTTTCTTTGGAGTAGAGCATTAATCAGGGCTTGGTTTTGCTCGGCCAAGCGGTTAATGCTGTTGGTGAGCTCTGTGAAATACTGTGGTGGGTTATTTGGATTGGGAAGGTCGGCTTGATGATTGGGAACATTGGGGTGAGAAGCCATGGATTTAGTTGTGACCATCCACCTTCACAAGTGGTAGGAGGAGGTTATTGGGAGAGGGTCTCCAGCGACAATGAGCACAACTGGCGTGTGGAACAAAAACCTTTCCCACAGGCGGCGGCGCCAACTGTTGATACGGCGTGTTCCAGATGGAATGGGTCGGACTGATCCACGCTTCCCAAACCGGTGTCCAAATGATCAAGCCCACTAGAAGACTTGCACAAGAGTTCAACGGGGAACGGGGAGTCCTCCAGCGAACCCTCCGACGAGCAAGTTAAAGAGAGAAACGGAATGTAGAGATGAATTAGAGATAGAAAAGCTTAACCTTCTTCTTGTCTTCGACGTCTGCTTATATCCTCCGGTAATCATTTCGTTATCCCTTCCGACCTATCACCTTGGCCGAAAGTCTATGCTCTAGTTTACCTTGTTTATGGTGAAGGCGTTCTATCTTGACGGAGAAGGGTTATCGCAATAAATGTTATAAGGGGTTTCATTAATGGCAATGTGCAGTGGCAATAACTTTGCAGGTCTTTGTCTGCTTATGTGGCTTGCCCTTCTCTTGCCATGTGTCTTGCTGCCATTGGTTCTTATTGTTACATGAGTCTTCAGTAATGCTGGACTTTAGTATTTAAGTTATGTATTGGGCCCTAAATTGTGGGCTATAATATTTATGGGCTTACCCATATCCAGTTCTATTATTTTCAATCAAATTCAAATATGTATATTGTTCATCGAATCATTTTGCTCTATTATTTTAAATCAATGAAATTCAAAATATGTGTATTATCCATCAAAATGAGATTGAAGATAGGATAAGTTATTGAGAAAACGATTAGTAGTTGTTTAATGTTAGTTTTTTTTTTTTTTTTTCCCATAGAATCTTAAAAATTAATGTGTTTGAAAATTTAATTTTGGATAAATTACAAATACTCCTTGAAATTTGTTTAAACTATTAATTGCCCCCTATAATTTGGAAAATTACAATATCTCTCTATCATAATTTTTTATTTAACAGAATTAATTGAAAAAATGAAATTTTTAACTGTTCACCTATACAAGAATAAAATTATCTAAATTATTAATTGAAAGAAATTTTTAACATTATTAAAAACTATTAATTAATTTGATAATTTATTAATAAAAAGATTTATTTGTTATGAAATTAGAAACTTTAGGGAAGCATAATATAATTCCTAAAACCACAAGAGATAATTTATAATTTAAATAAATATCAAGAAATGTGTTTGTAATTATAGAAAAGAAAGCATACATGGTAGTGAAAACAGCATTTTTTTTTTTTTGGTGTAGTATACATGCCACCACTACACCACCACCTCTACCATGCCACCACTACGCCGCCAGCTTATAACTTGCACACCGGCATATATCATAATGATGAACAATGCTCCACTAGCTTTATGGCTTGGGTACAGACGTTGTTTTTTTTTTGTTTCGGGTTTAAAATTTGTAACGTGGGTTCACAATAAAAATAAAATAAAATAAAATAAAATAAGGCTCTTATCCACTGCTTTATGTAGGAAGAGTCGGCCTAAGACTACAACTTCCATGGCTCTATTGATGGTGTATAAACTAGAAAATTTTGAGCATTACAAGCACGCAGTGTTCCTGAAGAACTAAATAATTTTTGGTAACTTGGGTATCTATAGAAACAGTATCAAACAAAGACCAATATCAGAAATGGTAGAACATGAATTTTATCTTTATTCTCAAGTTATGTCACTTGTACAAAACACACAATGGGCAAAGTGTAGCACCAAAAGCAATAACTGTGGTGAGGAGGACCTAAATCAGCCAGCTCCATCCAATAAAATTCCCATTAAGGAATTGCCAGTAAAATTTATCATCTTCAATTCAATGACTCATACATGACCTTCAAGATAGACCGATAACCTTACCAGTGGTGGTATCAATATCAATATCATAGAAACAAGGCCTTGTAGGAAGCCCAGGCATTGTGCTCATCGTTCCAACTAAAGGATAAATGAAGCCAGCTCCAATGCTTGCCCTTACATCCCTGATTGGCAAGACAAATCCGCTTGGTGCTCCTTTTTCGGAAGGAATGTGTGAGAATGAATATTGGGTTTTTGCCATACAGATCGGCAGAGTAGAGAATCCTTGCTTGCTGTACATTTCTATCTGTTTCTCAGCCTAAAAAAAAAGATACAAAGAATTTGTGTCAATAGGAAGGTTTGAAAATATGAAAATGGAGCTTGAAAATCCATATAGTATCGTTTCCTAAATTGTATCATGAATTTATTATATATACATGGCCTCTACCTCATTCATTGGTAAGCCAAATCATTCTTTTCATCCTTTTGTGCTTTCAAAATCAAAAAAACAGATACACATTGTTGATAAGATTTCATATCTAGTTTTGGAGAAGAAAAAAGACTATATTTAGCATGCCAATCTCTACAACTTTAATGAATTCTTCAAAAGCATAGCTTTCTAATAATACAATGCAAGATGAGCATACATGTAAATACCAGCCTCCAAATGAAAGATAATCTCTTCTAATTTTTAAATTTTTTTTTTTTTGGTCGGTTTTAAATGCCTAACAAAATCTAGACTGCATCTTAAACTTGAATTTTTTAACTTTTCAAGAAAAGAAAAAAGAAGGATTTAAATATAAATGTGGCAACTTCTTTTTTCACTTAACGAGTACTAAATTTGGCATTAAAACAAAAATTAAAACCTTCACCGTCAGATTCAGTAGTGTTAAACATGTGATTAGTTTGACAAAAATAAGTAAACAGTTACCTGCTCTGAGTACTCAACCCCACTGGCACCGTAAGACGTTGCTATTGCCTCTATTTTCTCTTTGATGCTAATATCCAAAGGGTACAAAAATTTTAAGGGCTGTGAGACATTCTCACATGCTTTTTGAACTGCAATGCCAAGGTCCACCTACAATTCGCAAGACAAGTTCAGCATATCTCAGGATAAAATAGTAGGTATAAATCATTCATCACATAAACAAGGATTTTGACCTCTGCCAGTAGATCCAATAAGGCCCAATTTGGTTGATTTTTTTCCCCTTTCTCTTGGCTCACGAATATGAAACAGTAATGATAACAAAATAATGTAGTGTCTGATATATACATGATAAGGAGTTCAAGTTCAAGAAAAACACCCAAGTGAACAGAAAGAGAAAAAGGGTGGGAAGACTTAGCACTTCTGTGATTTTGGGCTCAAAACAAATGTAAAAAGTAACGACTTGTCCCACATTAAAAGTTTGCATAAGTGATCTTGGGCATATAATGCACCACTAAATTACCATTTTTAAAAATCTTTTTGCTGCAGTTGTTATAAGAGCATCCCTAGCAGTCTCTCTAAACCCACCTCTTACCTAGTTTAAGGGATTGAAATCCCAAAATACACCTCCATCAGCTCCCCTAAACAATCCCCCAAATATAAGTGTTGCTACAGTGACTCCCTATTTGTGAGAAGTCACTGTAGCTCCCTTATATCTGATAAAAGACATGAAGGGATATCTTTCCGGACATCTGCCCAGATGTCCTGTGATTGCCCTGTAGCTGAAGAAAAGAAAACACAAAATTGGCCTGACCGGGCTACTGCTGCTTTGCTTTGCCTTCATAATAATTAAAAATATTATTTTAATAAAACAGAGAAAGTGCTACTGCTTTGCTTTCATAATAATTAAAAATATTATTTTAATAAAATAGAGAAAGAATAGGGAGTTTGTTGGGGGAGGTAGATGAAAAAGTGATTCCTAAAATAGGGAATGAATTTTTTAATAATATTTTAGGGTAAAATTTAAGTAAACTGCTGGGTATGCTCTAACACTCTTGTAAATATATATATAAGCTACCAAGACAATTTTTCCATGATTTGGAAAATACTTCTTATCTCTTGTCCTCTCTCATTGAAACTCTCCATCAGAAACTGAGTAGAGCTAGAGACAAAAATCAATTTCTAGAGGAATGTTAGCTGATATATGCCACCTCCATGCAGAATTTTCCGGGTGGATAATTATCACCATCCAGCTATATCATTTGATTTTACTTTTGCATTTTCTTTCTTTCTTGTTTAACAAGAGTTTATTAATGCCATTTTCCATATATTTTAAAAGAACTAATCTATTAGTTGGGATGAGTTACTAACCGCTCCTTTTCCACCGTGTGCATGATGAGTACAAATTACAGCATCAAAGGCCCCAGCAGAAATTGCTGCTGTTCTAACAGCATTTAGTTCTGCTTGCGAATCTGTAGAGAACATGTTAATGGCAACCACAACACTGACACCATAAGCCTTTGTGTTAGAAATGTGCCGAGCCAGATTCACGCAACCAGCTTCAACCAGAGCCACATTCTCAGTTAAGTAGGCACGGTCAAGAGGCTTCCCTGCTACAACTTCAGGCCCCCCACCATGCATTTTCAGAGCCCTAATTGTTGCCACGATAACAGCACACTGAGGCGTCAAGCCGCTATATCTACACTTTATATTCATAAACTTCTCAGTCCCAATATCAGCACCAAAGCCAGCTTCTGTAACAACAAAACCGCCCGGTCCCACCAGCTTTAGCGCAATCTTGTCAGCCACAACAGAGGAATTACCATGAGCAATATTGGCGAAAGGACCTGCATGGACAAGAACTGGGGTTCCCTCAAGAGTCTGCATCAAAGTGGGGTTAATAGCGTCTTTCATGAGCACGGTCAAAGCACCTCCGACTCCAAGATCATCTGCAGTAATAGGCTCACCAGCCTTGCTATTTCCAATCACCATATTCCCTAGTCTCTCTCTCATATCAGCTAGAGAAGTTGTAAGGGCCAAAACTGCCATTATCTCACTAGCAACTGAGATATCAAATCCAGTTTCTCTCACCATCCCTTTTTCTTCAGGGCCTTGACCGATGGTTATCTTCCTCAAGAACCGGTCATTAACATCCATAACTCTCCTCCACGTGATGGAATCAGAATCTATATCAAGCCTAGCAAACTTCTTGACTTCTTGTGGGGTAAGATCCTCGGGCTTGGTCTTAGAAATACCAAGCTTTTTGAGGCGCCTAAACATGATGTCATTAAAGCTCCGTTTGCCGTCTTTGTTTGGAGGGCATAACCGGTTGAGAAGAGCCTTATCACTTTGGGTTGATTCATGGAAAACTCGTGTATCTATTGCAGCAGCTAGAAGATTGTTTGCAGCAGTAATGGCATGGATATCACCAGTCAGATGAAGATTGAACTCATCCATTGGGATCACTTGGCTGTAACCACCACCAGCTGCACCACCTTTGATTCCAAAAGTTGGTCCTTGCGAAGGTTGGCGAAGGCAAGTGACAACCTAATATCAACGGATAAAAATTAGCAAATGAGAGTTATCCATGGAAAAATTTTAACCAAGAAATATAAATAAGTAGATATTTACATAAGTAAGTTGTACATCGGCAGACAGCTCATACAACAACTTAAAATCAATAGATAATGGTTGTCTTTGTTGTCTTATTAAAGAGTTTGCCAAATCATCTAAACCTGATACAGAGTACAGGTGTAGGGTGGAATGCCACTTGCATGATCCATCCAACTCCAAGTTTGCAGTTTAACTCATTTTGTCAAATAAATCCTTTCCTTACCAAGAGAGAGAAATTTTTATAAAAAAATTATTTGGAATGAATACACAATTACATGTAGCAGAAAAAGCTGTGAAAAGCATTTGAAAGGTTAATTCTGCAGTCCATTGGAAAAGGCTAGCACAAAAAAGAAAATTGCGACTGCCCATGTTGTCTACTGAATTTAATCAATTTTAAACCTAACTCTTGGCTGGTCAACCAGGTTTGAGCAAGTTTGCAAGATGTTCAATTATCAAAGAATGCACTTTACCAAATCAAGAATGAAACCAGCCTAATCACATATGCAGGTGAAATAATATTAATGAAGGCTCTTGGCAAATGACATTTTTTTACCAAGAATCATGAAGGTTTCTACTAGGCTCACCTACAACCCACTGAACTACATAATGTTTCTCCTCAACGACAACACAAGGATTTGTTATAGGTTTTATCTCCAAAGGTTCAACTGGAACCCACTAGTTGATTTTGTCCACTTGGATAACCAACCCAAAAACTCACAAGGGGTTTCAATGATTGCCCACAATCTCTTCCTCAATTAACAACTCACAATGGGTTTCAAGGATCACCCACAACCTCTTCCTCAATTACAACTATTACTATGGGTTTTTCCAAGGCTTAACCTCAACCGTTTCAATGCTCAAGCTCAATATAGATGTCAGTGGTGATACAATATCTCTATAATACACTAACAGAAAGAGTATTTCCTCACCAACCCTTGAATCATTTGATCTTCAGCTGTATACTCTTCACTCCAAACTTCCGTGTGGGTCATCACTAAACTAATGATCGTTAGCCAAAACTCTTGCACCTCAGTAAGAGGTCAAGAGTTCGGCTCCCCACGTGCATGGGTGTACTTATTTCCTTGTATTTGTTTGGGTTCTCTCTCTGCCACTTTGAGAGTCTATATGCAATTATGATTTACATTGTAATTGCCAATTCATTGTACTTTTCATTGTACTGTGATACATTGTAATCGGAGAGAGAGAGAGAGAGAGAGAGAGAATGATTATTAAACCCAACTAATGACTGTTGTATTTGACAGGGCAATACTATATAAAGAAACATTTTTCTCGAAGAAAGTTCACCAAATATTTAGAAATAAACTATCACAAGCTTAAGAGACTTATAAAATCTTTCAATTTTCTCAAAAAAACACCTTCCAATAAGTTGGACACATGTTTATTTCCAAAAACTTCACACTCTCAAACAGGAATTGTTTTCTATTTTCACCTCATGCAATTTGAATCATACCCTTTATCTTCCATGGTAACTATAGCACTAACATCTTTGGTAAAAGCATATATCCGTTAATATCAAGAGACTGCAATACTTAAATATAGTCACCCAAATAACTAGCATTCCATTCTAAACTTTCAAAATTTAATTGAATTGGGAACCGAAATGGGTTCTACTAGAATTTTTCATCCTCATAATAAAAAATGAAAACGGGGAAAGTAAATAATGGTCATCAAGAACTAAATTAATAGAATTCACCAATGAATGTAGTAAAATCTACAGAATTATAGAAAGATATTAAAATGAGATAGATGTATTCAGTACAAAAACAACCTTTTTATCAAGAAAAGCTCCCAAAGCCTGACAGAGACCAACAGTAGTTGTGGACTTGCCTTCTCCGAGAGGTGTTGGAGTAATTCCTCCAACCACCACATAATACCCATCTCCACCTCCTTTGACTTCATCAAGCACTGATAACAGCACCTACAATACCCACATACGCAACACAAAAATACTCAATTCCAAACCTTATTGTACAATACCCATACAACCAAACAAAAATAGTCAATTCCAAAACAATACCCAGATACCCAAAAAACAAATACTCAATTCCAAAACAATACCCAGATACCCAAAACAAAAATAATCAATCCAAAAACCAGATGCCCAAAACAAAAATACTCAATTCCAAAACAATACCCCACATATCCAAAACAAAAATACTCAAATCCAAACCTTAACGTACAATACCCGATACCCAAAACAAAAATACTCAATACCAAACCATAAATGTACAAAACCCAGATACCAAAATCTCCAAAAGTCCCAAAGAAACAACAGATCACTTACACATGAACATACATGCGTATTGAGGGATAAACAAGCACATACATAAATTACATGTCCAATATATGTTATTATTACCTTGGCTTTGTATTTGCCATAAAGGTCGTAGTGGTTGGGGCTGAGATTGAGTTCTTGGGCAATCTCGGAGATGTGGAGAGGTTGAACAGAGTTCGCAATGTCTATGTCTGCTGGTACTGGTGAAACCACTTGTAGCTTTCTCACTGTGTTTGATGAACCCATCTTTTTTTGCTTTCTATGATGAAAAAAATCTTGGATTTTCCTCTCTTTTTTCTTCGATTCTAGTCAAATCTATGCATCTACTCCATGAACAAATCTGGTTTTGCAACAAAACTTGATTGAATGAATAGTACGTCGGAGTTTGTGAAGGTTTATCTTGGTGAGGTGGGACCTGAACTCGCATGTGATGATGATGTTTATGATGATGAACAGCGCAAACTCGTTCGCTCAATCGTGGCATGACACGTGTCTGTACAACAATTGCATGGATAATTTAATTTTCCTACTAACAAATTCAAAAAAAATCAAAAGACGGCGGAGAGACATAAGGCCGTGTTTGGCAAAAAAAACACATACTACTGAGATTTTTTGAATTGGAGATGCGGGGTATCGATCCCCGTACCTCTCGCATGCTAAGCGAGCGCTCTACCATCTGAGCTACATCCCCTGCTTTGGCTCTGATTTAAGTTAATTATAACTTATTCATTTTAAAAAACTCATTTACATAATGAAAAAAAAAGTAAACAAATAAACAATAGTAACTATATAGAATTACAGTTCTTCAAACTATCTCTCTCTCTCTCTCTCTTAATTAACACTAGATAGCAATGAGGCAATTATCTCAATATTAATTATGCTTTGCGTAATCATCGTCGTTAGTGAGACATTTGTGGAAAGGTGATGCCTCGCCGCCTTGTGGCATATCGGAGATCAGAGCCAATATATTGTAAATGCTACCGGAATTGGCCGATTTGAAGCTGAGTGATCTCATCATCTTGCTCTTGGAGAAGATGTTTGATGAATTGGAGAGAATGAGATAGACCAGAGCTTGAACAAGCAGAAACATGGCCACCTTCGTCAAAGTATTTTCCCATGATATCTCCAATGCCATTTCTCAAATCGGCTTATATACGAACACAAAATAAATCACTGAATTATAAAGAAGAGTGGTTTGTATGTTGCAATGGTTGGATCACCTGTTAAATGCTAGAGAAAAGGAGTGGAAAATATATATGTATGAATGCAGTTTAAGCAAATGGTATAGAGAGGGATGGGCATTTATATAGGGAGGGGAGTAATGGAGAAGGTACCTTCAAAAAGTTGGTTATAGAGTTGTAAAGTCTATTTCAATGTATTTTCCGTTACATTATATGAGGAAACTTTTAAAATACAATAATCTCGAAACATAGGCCAAGTTTGGAAAGATTAAATAAGTGTACTTTTTGATTTTTTTTTATATTATGTGTAGAAAAAGTAGAGAGGAGATGTTGATTGATGTGGCCCAAAAAAGATAAAAAGATAAAATAAGTGCACTTTTTTAAGTTAGCCAAACTTGGCCATAATTGTACAATCAATAATGAATTTGAGACCTACAAATTGGAAGATCTTGTTTAAAATAAAAGTTATTATTGATTAAAAGTATTTAAAAAGTTACCAACACACATCACTAATAATAAGTTGGCCGTGAGAAAAAAAGAAAGCTACATCTAATCCAAAATTAATGAGTAAGATATACCGTGTTGAAAGTTGATTGTTAAATATTCTTGTTTTCAAAAACAAAAAATAAATACATTGACACATATAAACAATGACAGAGTCAGGATTTTGACTCAAAAGGGGCACATTTGAATTGAAATTTTAACAAAAATCATAATTTAACTTAATTTTTATTTGATGGTAGGACTACAAATTAGTGCGATGCAAAAATTATATTTAAATATAAGGTCAAGTTAACTAATTATTATCTTTATTGTCATTAATTTATTTTATATATGATGATCATCACGGTTTAAAAAATAATTACATATACTCTCATAAAATATGATAATAAAATTATATTAAGATGCACACACACAAAGAGATATAGTGAGGATAGAGAAAGAAATGAAAAAAAAATGAATAAATAATATACAGAGCCTATTATATATTACATGTTTTTTCACCGTTTTGAATAATCGAATTATATGACAATATATTATTAGCTGTCATTAATTATGTAATAATTATTTATCGTATAAGAGGTGATATAAAACAGTGACAAAATATCAATGATAAATAAGATTTCTCTACTATAAAATTTATAAGATTTTTTTTTTTTTGCATAATTAAACATTTAAAGTGATAAATTAAACATTTTTTTTTTATATAAAAAAGTAAAGAAAATAGTGATATAAAAATTTCAAGATATTACTTGAAAGGATTAAATTGAAATATATAGTTTTATTAGAGACAAAAAAATAATTTTCCAAAAGTTGAGGAGGTCACATGACCCCTCTGAGCCTCACGTGACTCCGCCCTTGCATATAAAAAACCTTTTTGTCCTGTAACAAATTTAAGGAGTTTAGATTGTCAGAACCCTTTCATCTTAGTAGAAAATCAAGAGTTAAAGTTTTATACAAGTAAAATTCATTCTCCCAAACTACAACCTCTAAAACCAAAAAAAAAAAAAAACCACTTAGCTTGTGAATGACAAGGGAGAACATATATGATTAGGCTGGGTTGCGTGAAGTTGCACATATCTAACACTTACCAACCAAATCCCCCTTGGTGACAAAAGTCACATTGCCCCTGAAAAGATGCAACGTAAACAACATGCATACCGCCCGGCGTCTACGCTTTCATCTTTGGGAAAAGGTTAGGTAAATTGCCAACCAAACCAATTAGGCACATATTCAAAATCAGTTGAAACCTCTGGCTGTGGGTATCCCAACAAGTCTCCTGTGAACTTTACAAAAATTGACAGAATAAAAACTGCCCCCATACACATAAAACAGTATTTTAGGCAGCAAAAAACATGTGAAGGCACTTTCGGTTGAAGCTCCACCCTCTGCAGGTGGTCATGTATGTATCCGTGGAGATAATAATCTCATATGCAAGTCTGCGGTATTTAACCGATGAAGAAAAAAACAAGATAGAGATCAAAAATAAAATAAAAATTAAAGTATAAAGGAAGTGCTCGAGAGTTGATTCAAAGCTTACCATCATAATATGCATATGCTACCAATATTTGGATACAAAAGGGTCGTAACTACCAGCCAAATCCAGCAACATTAACTATTTAATATGAAGGCACTATTTACAGTAGGTCACTTTGAGCATCCTAATCATATCTGAAATCAGGATTTTTTTTTTTTTTTCATGAAAAAAGAGAATTAAAAAAAAAAAAAAAACAGACAACAAAAATTATAACTTGGCATCCAAAATGTAACCATTACAGGTCATTTCAATCTGCATAACTGTCAAGAGTGATCTTTCGAGTCCATACTTGCACCTTTTTAAGCGGGCAGAAGTTGTGTAACCAGAGACTTGCTGAAGAACAAATGTACATAAACTGCATTCCAGATATTGCAGAGAAATATAAGTGTCAGACCTATTATGAATTATATAAATCACATATGCTAATAAATATCAAAATTGTTGAACATAACAAGATAGTAGCTGTTCAACATGCTAGCCAAAACAATATGCTTACCTTCCCTACAAATCAATTTTTACAATTTTTTATTACACATTTTTCCATAAAAAGTCAAAAAGTTAATCCAAACATCTATATTTTCAACCTCAATTTTTTAGTCCAAAAAACAAAAAGTGCACTTATTTAAGACACCCCAAACAACCCCTTAGATTGAGAAGGATTTTTTTGGCTTTGTGACTTTTTTTTGTGAGAAAGGAGTGTAATGATTATGGATTGGATTTGATATTTTGTTTTTCATGGCCAAAATAGCCTATTTTGTTTTTTGTAATTATTTTAGCCCCTAACCCACCAAAACCAACTTCCCAAACTATTTATAGAGTTGTAAAGTCTATTTCAATGTATTTTCCGTTACATTATACTAGCTTATCACCCCTGCTATGCACGGGATAATTATAGATATTTATATTTGTTTTAATTTTTTTTAATATATAAATTATATATTTTAAGATTTTTTATAAAAATAATTTAACAATCTTATCACTAACCATAGTGTACAGGAGAAATTAAAAAGGCTACTGCAGTAACTATGCACAGATTGTATCTATAATTATTTGTATGAGGGGATTGTAAATGCTAATCAAGTATTTTGACCAAATTAATAAATACATGCATGTGGATTAAAAAAAGTTAATAAATGCTGATCAGGAGATTTTGACCAAATCAATAAATGCTGAGTTTTTTTTTTTTTTTAAATCAAAAATTTAGAAAATTAAGATTGAGATATTGGAGCTCCCACAAGGTTTGGGGTTTAAAAACCCCATTTTCCTTAATATATTTACAATTATCTATATATGTAAATTGAGATTTTTAAATGTCTTTTTTTTTTTTTAATGTCTTCTTTTTTCCTTTTTTATATTATATAAAAGTTTAATATTTTGATAATAATCATATGTGTTGGACTTTTCAAGGAATTAAATGTTTTCTTTTTTTTATTATATTATATTAAAGTTTAATATTTTGATAATAATCATATGTGTTGGAATTTTTAATAAATTTTTTTTTTTATGTTTGTTCTTAATGCATTAAAGTGTTATTATGAGGGATAATAATCATATGTGTTGAACTTTTCAAGGAATTCATATGTGTTGGATTTCAAAAAAAAAATTTCATGCTTGTTCTTAATGCATTAAAGTATTATTATGAGAGTAAGACTTGAGGGTTGGGAGAAGTTAATAAATGCTAAGGTTTTTTTTTTAAATAAAAAAATCAAGAAATTGTTTTAGATATAAATTATATTTTTTAAGATTTTTTATAAAAATAATTTAACAATCTTATCACTAACCATAATGTATGAGAGAAGTTGAAAAGGGTACTGCAATAACTATACACGAGTTGTATCTATAATTATCTGTATGAGGGGATTTTAAATGCTGATTAGAGAATTTTGACCAAATCAATAAATGTAGACATGTGAAAAGACACGTGGATTGAAAAAAGATAATAAATGCTACTCAGGGGATATATATGTGAATTGTGATTTTTAAATGTCTTTTTTTTTTTTTCTTTTTCATATTATATTCAAGTTTAATATTTTGATAATAATCATATGTGTTGAATTTTTCAATGAATTAAATGTTTTGTTTTTTTATATTATATTAAAGTTTAATATTTTGATAATAATCATATGTGTTGTATTTTTCAAGAAATTTTTTTTATGCTTGTTCTTAATGCATTAAAGTGTTGTTATGAGAGATAATAATCATATGTGTTAGGACTTTTCAAGGAATTCATGTGTTAGACTTTTCAAGGGAATTTTTTTATACTTATTCTTAATACATTAAAGTGTTATTATAAGGATAAGGCTTAGGGGTTGTGAGAAATTAATAAATGCTAAGTTTTCTTCTTTTTTTTTTTTAAATCAAAAAATCAATAAATTTAGATTGAGATATTGAAACTCTCACAAAACTTGTACATTAGAGATAGATATAAATAAAGAGATAGATATAGATATAGATATTTATATTTGTTTTAAATTTTTTTTAATATACAAATTATTTGTTTTGGAAAGGTACTGTAATAATTATGAGAGAAGTCAAAAAGTCTTGTGGTTGAGAGAAGTTAATAAATGCTAAGGTTAATTTTTTTTTTTAAAAACAAAAAATTAAAAAATTAGGATTGGTATATTGGAGCTCCCACAGGCATTGGGGGTTAGAAATCCTTTTTTACTTAATATATAGTATAGATAGATAGATGAGGAAACTTTTAAAATACAATAATCTCGAAACACAATTGTACAATCAATAATGAATTTGAGACCTACAAATTGGAAGATCTTGTTTAAAATAAAAGTTATTATTGATTAAAAGTATTTAAAAAGTTGCCAACACACATCACTAATAAGTTGGCCGTGAGAAAAAAAGAAAGCTACATCTAATCCAAAATTAATGAGTAAGATATACCGTGTTGAAAGTTGATTGTTACATATACTTGTTTTCAAAAACAAAAAATAAATACATTGACACGTATAAACAATGGCAGAGTCAGGATTTTGATTCAAGAGGGGGACACTTTTGAATTGAAATTTTAACAAAAATCATAATTTAACTTAATTTTTATTTGATGGTAGGACTACAAATTAGTGCGATGCAAAAGTTATATTTAAATATAAGGTCAAGTTAACTAATTATTATCTTTATTGTTATTAATTTATTTTATATATGACGATCATCACGGTTTAAAAAATAATTACATATACTCTCATAAAATATGATAATAAAATTATATTAAGATACACACACAAAGAGATATAGTGAGGATAGAGAAAGAAATGAAAAAAAGATAAATAAATAATATACAGAGCCTATTATATATTACTTGTTTTTTCACCGTTTTGAATAATCGAATTATATGACAATATATTATTAGCTGTCATTAATTATGTAATAATTATTTATCGTATAAGAGATCATATAAAACAGTAACAAAATATCAATGATATATAAGATTTCTCTACTATAAAATTTATAAGATTTTTTTTTTTGCATAATTAAACATTTAAAAAAAGAAAATAGTGATATAAAAATTTCAAAAAATTACTTAAAAGGATTAAATTGAAATATATATTTTTATTAGAGATAAAAAAATAATTTTCCAAAAGTTGAGGAGGGCACTTGATTCCTCTGAGCCTCACGTGACTCCGCCCTTGCGTATAAAAATCCTATTTGTCCTGTAACAAATTTAAAGTAGTTTAGATTGTCAGAACCCTTTCATCTTAGTAGAAAATCAAGAGTTAAAGTTTTATACAAGTAAAATTCATTCTCCCAAACTACAACCTGTAAAACAAAAAAAAAAAAAACCACTTAGCTTGTGAATGACAAGGGAGAACATATATGATTAGGCTGGGTTGCGTGAAGTTGCACATATCTAACACTTACCAACCGAATCCCCCTTGGTGACAAAAGTCACATTGCCCCTGAAAAGATGCAACGTAAACAACATGCATACCGCCCGGCGTCTACGCTTTCATCTTTGGGAAAAGGTTAGGTAAATTGCCAACCAAACCAATTAGGCACATATTCAAAATCAGTTGAAACCTCTGGCTGTGGGTATCCCAACAAGTCTCCTGTGAACTTTACAAAAATTGACAGAATAAAAACTGCCCCCATACACATAAAACAGTATTTTAGGCAGCAAAAAACATGTGAAGGCACTTTCGGTTGAAGCTCCACCCTCTGCAGGTGGTCATGTATGTATCCGTGGAGATAATAATCTCATATGCAAGTCTGCGGTATTTAACCGATGAAGAAAAAAACAAGATAGAGATCAAAAATAAAATAAAAATTAAAGTATAAAGGAAGTGCTCGACAGTTGCTACTAAGCTTACCATCATAATATGCATATGCTACCAATATTTGGATACAAAAGGGCCGTAACTACCAGCCAAATCCAGCAACATTAACTATTTAATATGAAGGCACTATTTACAGTAGGTCACTTTGAGCATCCTAATCATATCTGAAATCAGGATTTTTTTTTTTTTTTCATGAAAAAAGAGAATTAAAAAAAAAAAAAAAACAGACAGACAACAAAAAGGATAACTTGGCATCCAAAATGTAACCATTACAGGTCATTTCAATCTGCATAACTGTCAAGAGTGATCTTTCGAGTCCATACTTGCACCTTTTTAAGCGGGCAGAAGTTGTGTAACCAGAGACTTGCTGAAGAACAAATGTACATAAACTGCATTCCAGATATTGCAGAGAAATATAAGTGTCAGACCTATTATGAATTATATAAATCACATATGCTAATAAATATCAAAATTGTTGAACATAACAAGATAGTAGCTGTTCAACATGCTAGCCAAAACAATATGCTTACCTTTTTGTTAATTTTTTTGAAGGATCATAAGGAAAATGTTCGATGAAATATGGCAAAATTAATGAAATGTATAAATTACAGAATCATAATAAATTATGTGATAAATTTTGGCAACATGATTGGTACATGCACAATTTCAAAAATGAAGCTGATGGTGATCAGAAAGGCAATGGATGAAGAAAAACAACTAAAGATTTTATTATTTAATTTATTATAGAGTTCTATTATGGTATGATTTTATTTTTGGTAATGATAATTAGGGTTTCCTAAGATGCTTATATATATGTTTATGTAATGTTTTGATCCTGACTTTGATGATTGAATATTGTATTTGAATATTGAGAGCCGAATATTAAATTTATTTTGAGAGTACTTTGAGATAGAAATTCCCGATTCTTCTTCTTCCTGATTATTCGTCCTTCTTCGTTCTTGATCCTACACCAGAAGCCTAAGCCCTAATGCTTTGAAAAAGAAAACCTGGTGGCATTAAGTGTGAGGCTCTTGTCCCCCCGCTGGGTGAGCCTAATATGATGTATCACTGGTACAGAATCTCAGAGAGAGAGACAGATGAATTGTCATCAACCAATATTTTTTTCTAGTTATTTGAACCAAAAACATCAGAATTTCAGAAACAACCACTACTACTACTCAAAACAAAAATTATCCTTTGTCCACGGCAACCAATGAAGGAAGGTGTGAAATTTCCAAAAGCTTAGTTATGCATGAACCACGGAGAATTTAAACACTATTTATTCATTTGGGGAAAAGAATACAAGCATGTATACACAACTTAGTGAAGGGAAACAATTTGCATGGTGGCATTAGAGAAAAGGGTCAGCCAAAGCTTATAAACATATTCAAAATGTTATATATGCAAGAATAGGATCCAATTTACTTGAGAAGCAAATACACATCTACCCACTATTGGCCTGCTCGTGTACTCTTCAATAAAGTAATGCTCTGGAATTATCAGCTTTGGCAAAAAAGATGCTAATCCTAATCATAAGAGAAAAAAACAGTTGAATCGGAGATTACATCAAAGGGAGCAAGGAAACATTTGAAAGAGGTTGAGAGGGGAGTTTGCACCAAGCGTACAGGCCGAGCTAGTTGTAACTTGGGCCTTGCCGTTGAATTACACGACCGAGTTGGCATAGCCGAGGGCAGTTTGGCCGAGGTTCTAGCTCATGCGGCTGAGTTAGCCGAAGGTCCGGAAGTTGGACCGGGCTAAGCCGAGCTAGGTGAAACGATGGTCCAAGACCGAGCAAGGTCAGCGGCAACGAACGGAGTTGGGCAAACCGAGCTAGTTATTGAGCTTGACCCTGAAGGTCGGTCGGAATTGAGGCTAGAACTGACCGGGCTATGCCTAGCTCAGTGGAAATTGCCAGGTGGTCCAATTGGAATGCGAGAAGAGAAACCCGCCAATGGTTTGCGTCAATACCATTTGGCAGTTTGGCCAATGTTGTTTGGCGGTATTGACGGGTACACGTGTAAAGAATAAAGAGGACAGTACAGCCACGCATCTAGGAAAGGACGAGCAGAGCAGCGCGCAGAGGCTATATAGACTAAGCAAGGTCTAAATTTCTAGCTACCAAAGTGCTCTCTTTCTTTTTTTCTTCCTCTCTAAGGTGCTAACTTGACCATCAGAGGGGTTTTCCGGCAACACCCGCTGGGTAGCTCACCATCATTGTATTCTCAGGCTATTCGGAGCGAAGCGAAGCTTGGACACTAGGAGTACGAACAACGACGAATATTTGCTCCCCATACAATTGGCACAGTCTGTGGGAATCCAACAAACAAAACCTTGTCCTCCAAGCTTTTCCGGTCATCTTTTATGGTGAACAACGACGACATTCCGTTGTCTGCCATCAACGGCATCATGCTAGAGTCTGTTCGGCGCAGAGATGGCCCGCCCGCCATTCCGGCAATGGCTAGTTTAGAGACCTCTGCGTGAGGACTTCCTAGAGCTGCGCGAGACAAGCGCACAAGGAGTTCTGGGCACTTTGTCAATCTAGAAGAGTGTCGCTGTCAACAAGACTCACACACTCAGCACCTAGAAGACAAGTTAAGAGACCAAGATACCATCATCAAGAAGATGGCGACAGAGATGGAGGCCATGAAACGCCAGATGAAGGGAAAGGGTGTCGCTGGAGTGGGGAACCACAGTGAGCACACCCATTCTCGCCGTTCCGACAGTCAAAATAGGCGTCGCACCCCTTTACTCTCCGTCACGAGACGCTTTAAAGCTGGAGACTACGTCGCGTCGACGGCGACATCTCGTACGCAGGACAACAGTTACCACCCCTCACGTCCGACAACGAAGGCGAGATATTCATGCTCCGACCGTTCGAAAGACTTGAGGAATGTATTGAAGGAGTGCGCTTGCCGACGAGATGCGAAGAGGCTGCCTACACTATAGCGGCTGGCCCTTAGAGAGCGAGCTAGTGAAGAGGTCGCCATGCCGCCACCACGCCTGGCAGCATGCGCGCCACCAGACAGAGAGTTGGCAAGGCTGTGCGCCACTCCTTTTTTCGTAGAGATAGAGAACACACCGCTCTCCCCCTAGTTCCATCAGCCAAAGTTCACGCCCTATGATGGAAAAACTAATCTGTACATGCACGCAAGCCACTTCCGACAGATTATAGCTGGGCACAGGCGAAACGATGCGCTCATGTGCCTTGTTTTTCCATCAAGTTTTGGCAAGTTAGGCCTAAAATGGTTCGAGAGGCTACCAGAGGAGAGCATCGATGGGTGGCAACAGTTGGCAAAGGCATTTGTCACCAGATTTAAGACAAACGCCAAAACATTCAAGGAAATTGACCATCTCTTGGGAGTAAAGATGGAGCCCAGCGACTCTTTGAAGGACTATAACGCTAAGTATTGGGAGACTTTCAACGAGATCCTCGATTGCCCAACCAACCTTGCAATTACTCAGTATAAGCGCGGTCTTCCAATCGGACATGGGCAGAGGGATGCGCTCACGATGAATCAACCCACAACAATAGAGCTGGTGATGCAAAAGATTAACGAACACATCAAAGTTGAAGATGACATGGTTGCGGCTACTGTGAAGACAAATCCAGTAGTGGCGGACAAAAGAATTGTGGAAAAAGTCAATGTAGTCGAACAAGAGGATGGTCGTGCAAACAACCATGGAAGAGATATGGAGAGTTCGGTTTTGGAAGACGTCAGTAAAAAGGTCGAGGAAAAGGGGCATAAAACTCGCAGAATATAAATGGCCGATCTATTTCCGGAACGCCGAATACTGCCAATATGAAGTTTTATTCTTAGTTTTACTTTTGTAACCCTTTCTACTATTGACGTAATGAAATAAGTAGATTGTTTTTTGAGAAGTGTTGTATCTTTATCCCACTAAGCAGATTTAGCGCGGTCCAAGAGGCAACTGACGATCATTTTGACGGAAAGATCAAAATTTCTTGCCAGGCGAATTTTGCTCAGCAAGAGGTTTGTTGATGGTTTTAATCAACTTTGAAATTTCTTGCCGGGCGGATTTTGCTCAGCAAGAGATTTGTTGATGGTTTTGATTAACTTTAGAGTTCCTCACCGAGCTGATTTTGCTCTCCAAGAAGCAAGTCACCAAGCTATCCTTGCTCGCCAACATTGGTATTCCTTGTCGAGCTGATTTTGATCGCCAAGAAACAAGTTGCCAAGCTGACCCTTGCTTGGCAACTTTAAAGTTCTTTGCTGAGCTGATTTTGCTCGCCAAGAAGCAAGTTGTCGAGCTGACCTTGCTCCCCAATCTTGAAGTTCCTTACCGAGCTAATTTTGCTCGCCAAGAAGCAAGTCGCCGAGTTGACTTTGCTCGCCAACTTTAGAGTTCCTTACCGTGTTGATTTTGCTCACCAAGAAACAAGTCGCCGAACTGACCTTGCTTGCCAACTTTGGAGTTCCTTGCCGAACGGATTTTGCTTGCCAAGAAGCAAATCGTCGAGCTGACCTTGCTTGCCAACTTTGGAGTTCCTTGCCGAGCTGATTTTGCTCGCCAAGAAGCAAGTCACCGAGCTGACCTTGCTCGCCAACTTTAGAGTTCCTTGCCGAGCTAATTTTGCTCGTCATGAAGCAAGTTGCCGAGCTGACCTTACTCGTCAACTTTGAAGTTTCTTGCTGAGCTGATTTTGCTTGCCAAGAAGCAAGTCGCCGAGCTGACCTTGCTCGCCAACCTTGAAATTCCTTACCGAGCTGATTTTGCTCGCCAAGAAGCGAGTTGCCGAGCTGACCTTACTCGCCAACTTTGAAGTTCCTTGGAAAACGGATTTTGCTCGCCATGAAGCAAGTTACCGAGCTGACCTGGCTCGCTGACTTTGAAGTTCCTTGCCGAGTGAATTTTGCTCGCCAAGAAACAAGTTACTGAGTTGACCTTGCTCGCCAACCTTGAAGTTCCTTGTCGAGCTGATTTTGCTCGCCAAGAAGCAAGTCGCCAAGCTAACCTTGCTCGGCAACTTTGAAGTTCTTTACTGAGCTAGTTTTGCTCGCCCAGAAGCAAGTTGCCGAGCTAACCCTTGCTTGGCATCTTTGAAGTTCCTTGTCGAGAAGATTTTGCTTACCAGGAAACAAGTTGTCGAACTGACTTTGCTCGCCAATCTTGAAATTCCTTACCGAGCTGATTTTGCTCGCCAAGAAGCAAGTCGCCGAGCTAACCTTGCTCGACAACTTTGAAGTTCCTTGCCGAGCAGATTTTGCTCGCCAAGAAGCAAGTTGTCGAGCTGCTTACCAACCTTGAAGTTCCTTGCCAAGTGGATTTTGCTCGCCAAGAAGCAAGTTGCCTAGCTAACCTTACTTGCCAACTTTAGAGTTCCTTGCCGAGCTGATTTTGCTCGATAAGAAACAAATTGTCGAGCTGACCCTGCTTGCCAACTTTGAAGTTCCTTGCCCGAACGAATTTTGCTCGCCAAGAAGCAAGTCGCCGAGCTGACCTCGCTCGCCAGCCTTGGAGTTCATTGTCGAGCTGATTTTGCTCGCCAAGATGCAAGTTGCGGAACTGACCTTGCTCGCCAACTTTGGAGTTCCTTGCTGAGTTGATTTTGCTCGCCAAGAAGTAAGTCGTTGTGTTGACCTTACTCGCCAATCTTGGAGTTCATTGCCAAGCTAATTTTTGCTCGCCAAGATGCAAGTTGCTGAGCTGACCTTATTCGCAAACTTTAGAGTTCTTTGCCGAGCTGATTTTGCTCGCCAAGGAAGTTACCAAGCCAATTTTGCTCGCCGAGAAGTAAATTGTTGAGCTAAGTTTATTTTGCTACCAAGGAGTTGCGCTGATTTTACTCGCCGAGATGTGAATCATCGAGCTGAGCTGGTTAAATGGTTAACACAAAAGCCGAAGAACATTTTGAAAAATTGGAGCTATGAAGATTTGTGCAGCAGTGCAGCGCGGGCCCCGAAAACAAGTGATAAAACTTGATCGAGCTATCACGAAGCTTGATGACGAACTGAGTTGAAGTTGAGTAATCCCATTCATGTTACAACATAAGGGATTTAAAGCGAATCACTGAGCAAAGAGTCTAGCCCGACCTAGCAATGTAATTTCGGCCACGCGGAATGCGGACGGAATTAAGGGGCAATTGAGAGGGGAGTTTGCGCCAAGCAAACGGGCCGAGCTAGTTGTGACTTGGGCCTTGCCGCTGGATTACACGACTGAGTTGGCATAGCCGAGAGCAGTTTGGCCAAGGTTCTAGATCATGCGACTGAGTTAGTTGAAGGTCCAAAAGTTGGACCGGGCTAAGCCGAGCTAGGTGAAACAATGGTCCAAGGCCGAGCAAGGTCAACGGCAACGAACGTAGTTGGGCAAACTGAGCTAGTTATTGAGCTTGACCCTGAAGGTCGGCCGGAATTGAGGCTAGAACTGATCAGGCTATGCCTAGCTCGGTGGAAATTGCCAGGTGGTCCAATTGGAGTGCGAGAAGAGAAACCCGCCAATGGTGTGCGTCAATACCGTTTGGCAGTTTGGCTAATGTTGTTTGGTGGTATTGACGGGTACACGTGTAAAGAATAGAGAGGACAGTACAGCCACGCGTCCAGGAAAGGACAAGCAGAGTAGCACACGCAAAGACTATATAGACTGAGCAGCGCCTCCATACAACAGGTCTAAATTTCTGGCTACCAAAGCTCTCTCTCTCTTTTTTTCTTCCTCTCTGAGGGTGCTAATTTGACCGTCGGAGGGGTTTTCTGGTAGCACACCCGCCGGGCAGCTCACCATCATTGTATTCTCAGGTTATTCGGAGCGAAGCGAAACTTGGACACGAGAAATACGGACAACGACAAATATTTGCTCCCCGTATAGAGGTCATCAAGGAAAATGACCATTCACTAATCAGGAATGCAATATGTTGGCAACAGAAAGCACATTGACTTGGCTTAAGAATGGACATGACATGGAAAACTAAGGTTCTTATATACCAATACCAAAAAGTGCAAAAAAGAGATGATTTCATTAAAACACGTATAAAATGAATGCAGAAACAACAGTAATCAAGCCTTGTCACCTACGCTAGGCCTCTCCTAAGGCAATCCAACTGCCAACAAAACCACCTAGACGTGTCGACAACACTGATTGGATGGCCGAGCACAATAAGAATTCCCCGAGACTGGCCTACAATCCTTCCGTAGAAAGTCGAGGATACCATTTATGAGAATTTAACACAAAAGTGCATACTCATGGATAAAGAACCCCAATGCCAACACTGATTCCTCTCTCCGAATGAAAGCAACATAAGTACTCATTACTGCTACCACATTACATCACATTGCTACTCACTTTTCCTCAACCACAATCCTCAACATTGTAATAAAATTTATCCAAAAACATAACATGTAAGATGAGACATTCTTTGATAGCAAACACTGACTACTTTAGATCCTCAGAACATGCTAAAATGACCTAATTGCTAATATATAACAATACCCATGGGCTAATTGTCAATATCTTACCATTATTTTTATTTTAACAACTTGCATATGAATTATCATACTCTCTTTTCAGTGTTGTGAATTGGAAGCAAGACAAATTTCCAATGCTATTTCCCCTCCCAATTTTAAAAGTTGTCATTGCCTATTCTCCTTTCGCACTCCAACCCCTTGGATTTGTCTAATTGCAATGCCCTCCTCTCCCATATTTTCAACAACTAATCCTTGTCTTTCAATGTCCAACCACCACCTAGAAGTTTACAAGTCGCAACAATACTCGTTTAGTTCCTTATATTCAAATTCAGTTACAATTGCCAACTTATACTGTAAGTATCTCCAAAGTTTCATATAATCATATATCATATTTTTTCACTATATGCATTCATGTAAAGAATCAATATGATTATCGAGTACTTGGAGATCAAGAGACATACCAAGAACACACAAAAAACCCACGGAATATTTATCACGCATCAAGCATCACAGTATCACCATCCTCGTCAAGCATAACATTTACATCCCCAGCAGTAGCCAATCCACTAGCAACAACACAATCCACATTACTAGCAGTTCCCACTGCTGAACCCCTCTCTGCTCTCCCCATTCGCGTTGCGGTGGAGGAAGATGAAGACTGCTGCTGAGTCAACACAGCAAACAGTCCATTCCTCAGCACGGCGTCACGAAACCCACTTTCATGATCTTCACCCCATCCTTCCACATACAAATTCCCCAACCTCACCACATACAGCATCAAGGGCTCCGGTCTCCTCTCCATGGGCAACTTGTACCGACACAAGGGACACGAATTGCTGCGATTGAGCCACGGAAGGATGCAATTGTGATGAAAAACATGATCACAAGGCAATGGATTGACTTGATCATTTTTCTCAAACTCATCCTTGCAAATTGAGCAAGATTTGGATAATAGGGACCCGGTGATTTTCAAGATTGGAAGTGAATTGATGAAGGATTTGGAGGTATGGGACAAATGCTTGGGCTGTCGAGCTTGGGTAGAGATGCGATCGAGGATGGAATTGAAGAGGTCTTCGTCGTCGGAATCGATGTAGTCGGAGGTGTGAAGTGGGGTTTGGGTCGGGGGAGGAGTAAAAGGGCCGTAGATGGAGACGGAAGGGTAATTAGGGTTAGGGCAAAGGCGGTGGCAGCCTGGACAGCGGGCGGCAGCGGCGGTGGCGATACGGCAGTTGTGGCACCGGAACGATTGGTTTGTGGCGGCGTTGGGGTTGCCGGCGGTGGCGATGGTGGCATCCGACGACATTCTTCTTCTTCTGGGATGGTAGGGTTTCGGGGTTTTGCTTTACATAGTTGTACTTCACAATTGTTTTTTTGATTAGTAGTTAGTTGGGAAACAATGTACACCCTACAATATTCACCTTATAATTAAAAAAATAAAATTTAATATAACTTTAATTTTTTTGAATCATAATTAAAATAAAATATCATAATTAAATACAATATAAAATATAATTTAAAAAATTATAAATCATAATTAAAATAATATCATAACTATATAAAAAAATTAATCATAATTATGTAATTATTTTTTTAAGGGTGTATATTAAATTTTTTTTAATTACTAATAAAATTTATAAATACTTTGAATCATTATTAATTAATATGATTTTGGCTTGGTTTAGGAAGTAGATTGACTTTTTGGCTTTTTGATTTTTTTTTTTGACTATTTTAGCCTAGGATTAAAAAATCTGATTTAGGAAGGACTTTTGACTTTTTTGATTTTTTTGTAAGATAAATAATATAATGATTATGAGTTGGACGTGACACTTTGTCTTATTGGGATTAAAAAACCTATTTTATTTTTTGTGACTATTTTAGCTTTAAACCCACCCAAACCCACTTCCCAAACAACCCTTTTGGTAATTACAAAAAATATATATCTGAATTTATTAAAATTTTTCCTCTCCTGTCTCCTCCCATCTACTACTACCATCGCACAATACTACCACCTACAAGCAGTGATGGAGTTAGAAAATCAAATTAGAGAGACACTTATCAATTACAATATTGAAAATTTTTACAAAAATATTCCACGCAAATTTTTTCGATTGATTTCAAGAAATATTAAAAAAAATGTAATTTATAACTAGTGTATCATGGACAATATAAAAAAATATAAATATAAGTCTTAAAATAAATTATATAATGATAAATTATTTTTTTATATAAAATTTGATTAAAAATCTAATATAATGGTAATACCACGTCATCATTAATATATGATATCACCAACGAATAGTAAATAAACACATAGAGAATGAACCTCACATGTCAAATGTAACTAATAATCTAATAAATTTCATATCTTTATACTGAGATTACTTATACTTGCATGTCAATAATAATGACATCACTGTTACATTCAAAAAATTTCATAAATAATATGATTTATAATAGTCTCTTTATTTTCAATCAAAATAATCATTATTGTTCTCATAATTTTTAAAAATGTCATTGACATTTCACTCTAATAATATTTTTAAATTTTTTTAATTTAAAATATTTTCTTTATTTTGCACCGAAAAAAAAAAAATCAAAAATCCAAAGGGGGACACGTGGCCTCCCTCACTTTCCTCCTCCACTGCCTACAAGTATTGTTATTAGTTACCTTCTTCAGTTATTGCTAATGATAATTAACTCTTACCATTATTTTTTGTGATTAATGATTATTTGATCGCCTAATAATTTCCTTTCACAACATTCTCCCATCGACGACTAATTTTGACCACCTTTGATTATTATCTCCCATTAAAAACAAGTCAAGATCCCTTCCCTGACAATCCTACTTCATCTCCTCCTTGCAACGGTTGAGATCAGCTATTGCACACCCAACGGCTAATAAAAAAAATAAAAAATAAATATGAAATTGAAATTTCAAAAGATTCTCGCCCGTTGCTATAGTTATACATTCACTTCACTCTCACTCTCACTTTCACTCAGCCTCACACTCACTCGTCCTCCTCCACCGAACCCACCTTCACCAGCGACCAGTCCTGACGACGACCCAGACGGCGACCCACTCCAGGCCTGATATTCTCTGCTTCGTGAACCATAGCTCCACCGCGATCACTGACAAGCCCCAATTTTCTATGCCCAAATGATAACACAACCATCATGGCTCCTTAAAGGAAAACAAAAATAATTCTCTACACTTGCATTGCATGATACAATTAGTTTCCTCAATGTGATTATACATTTAATCCAAAGCTAAATAAATAAACACTAGATATCCCCAAGGGTTTACAAGTTTCCAAGGCTTAGGCCTAGTTACACAAAATGGTTATTTAAATCCACACAAATACAGCCGTTGGCTTACAAACAGAGTTACAGCAAAATGAGAGCCTTATACTCTCAACACATATTTCCTCGCCTTTAGTTAGGCGGAATCACCACATATTTTCCTGTACAAAAATCCCGTAGGGTGAGCATAAAGCCTAGTAGGAAATCTTTAACAAAGTATATACATTTATACAAGTCTCAAATGATGAAATGCACATGTCATGCTATGTTCATTTTTTGAAAGTAAATCACATTTTCATTTTTTGAAAACCATCATGCTCAATGATATCATGCAATTTCAATTGTACAAAACTTAACAATTTATTTCAAATGCGGTAAATACGACTCTGGTAATTCCTAGGCTAGTGTTTGCAAATAGACTATACAAGTACTACCAATTTGTCATTTTTACCAGTATTAACTAGAAGGCTCGACACCTGTAATCTGCTATTTTTACCAGTATTAACTGGAAGGCTCAACACCTATCATCTACACCACCTTTCAAAACCTACCACTGTATTTACCCCAAAACCATTCCATGAAAACTTGTTTCTCAACATTCTTTTCTCAATGCAAGTTTTCAAATCAACTTTCAAAGTTTAATGTAATCAAATGAATTGATATGCCAATTTCACAAGATGAATATAAATACTTTTATTCTAATTCATTATCCAAGAAATAACACAATTCCCTCTTCTCAAATATCCTCAACAATTAGTCATTTCAAGACTATTTCAATATTTTGAACAATAATTTTCAAAATGAACAACAATTCTCATATTTTAGGAAATTCATCATTTATATAAATATAAATAAGAAATTTTCCAAACATCCATTTATTTTGACACACAAAATAAATATAACAATATCATTCATGGATTTTCAATCCCTTTTAAAAATCCTTAATTTCTAGGTTTTCTCACCAAAACTGTACAACTCAAATCTTTTGAAAGAAAACTTTCCAAAATCATCATTTCTTCAATAACGAAGATCAAAACCCAAAAGGTCATTTTATAAGAACAAGAGACAAACCCACTTTCAAAATCGCTCAACTTCTTGAATCAACAATCAATTTTCAAAGCTATCGAAAGATGATTTTGAAAATCATCTAGATCTTGTATATATATATATAACTCTAAGAAAATCCCTACCTCAAGTTTTTAAGAAGAAATGAGATAAAACCCCCAAAATCAACGGTGTCAAAACTCGATCTTCACCGCACACAATGAAGCCCTCGAGAAGTTAACCAACTTTGATGAAGAAACTATGGCAGAACTCTAATAGATCTTGAGAAATCAAGGTTTTGATCCAATTTGGCATAAGGAAATGTAGAGAGAAGAGAGAGGAATGGGTTTTTAGAGAGAGAGAGACCTAACAAGAGTGAGATACACTCAGCCTAAAGAGAAAAAAAGACTAAAATTTCAGACTCACCTACCATCGCACATGCGGCGCTTCTCCAGCACTTGCATTCCCGCACCTGCATTTATTGTAGTAGCCAAACAAGCCCTCCCCTATTTTCTGCATGTACGGCTCAAGCAACTTCAAATGCATTTTGCATTTGTGCTTCAGGGGCGTTGCCCCTCGACCCCATCAGGGTGTTGCCCTCGGACCCGCCAAGGGGCGCTGCCCCCTAGAACCCCACGAGCTGACCGGGCAGCTTGACCCCCGACATACTCAGTGAAGTGGTAAAACATGAAAAAATTAACTTCAGATACAACTCTGTAAGGCACAATTCAGGTTGGATTCACATCTAAAGGTTTGGAGACATTACCTGTCCAAACACACCACTATAACCTAATAACCAAAAAATAAGGGGAATACAAGGGAAACTAAGATACGTAACACCGTTCAAAACCATACCAACCCGTGCCCGGAACACCACAAGAGACGGGTCAAAACCGAGATCGCTACAACCTCCCTTCCTTAAAGAATTTTGTCCCCGAAATTTCAAATCAAACTACCCAAACAAATGGGGTTTCTAGCGATCAAAACCACGTTATTTCATTTTAAAATCACAATATTAACTCTCAACCAATTTTTTTTGCCATTTTCACCATGGTTATCTCATCAACAACAACCGTTCACATTAACCTAAACATAAAGCAAAGAAATGACAATCTGTAACTACTTCATGCTTAACATAACAACACGTGGTCAACAATTTTAACACATTTCCCTCAAACACTAGGGAATATTACAAGGAAAAACAACTTAAGCATTTTCAAACAAATCTGGATACTTAGAGTGGACTTCTGTCTCCCGTTCCCACGTCGCTTTTTTAACCCCATGGTGTCTTCATAACACCTTTACCAACGGTATAGTTTTGCCCCGTAGCACTTGCTCCCAGGTATCTAATATTTGAACCGGTCATTCTTCGTAAGAGGCATCTCCATCTACCTCCAGGTCAACCCAATCAAGCACATGAGAAGGGTTGGGTTCATACTTCCTAAGCATAGATACATGAAATACGTTGTGAACTCTCGAAAGTTGTGACGGTAAAGCTAACCGGTATGCCACTTCCCTAATTCGCTCTAAGATCTCAAAAAGCCCAATGAACCTTGGAGATAATTTACCACTCTTACTAAATCTCATCAAATCTCGCCTTGGTGAGATTTTTAGAAACACATGGTTACCAACTTCAAAAGATAAAGGTCATCTCCACTTATTGGCATAACTCTTTTGTCGGCTTTAGGCTGTAGCTAACCTCTTCCGAATGAGAACAACTTTCTCAATTGTCTCTTTAACAATTTCCAGACCTAGTAACGGTATATCACCCACTTCGGCCCAACAAACTGGTGATCTACAAGGTCGGCCATACATGGCCTCAAATGGTGTCATCCCAATACTAGCTTGGTAACTATTGTCGTAAGCAAACTTAATCAATGGTAAGTGTCTTTTCCAAGGCCCCTTAAAATCAAGGACACAAGCTCTAAGCATGTCCTCTAAAATCTGAATGGTACTTTCCGACTATCCATCGATTTGAGGATGATAAGCGGTGCTAAGAGTCAACTTAGTTCCCAACGCTTCTAGAAGGCTTTGCCATAACCGGACAATATAACGAG